GTGGGGCATGATAGCAAAAGTGAATAGTTTGTTCCTTTTTCCCCCCTCCCCCCCCGGCTAACATTTTTACCTCCAAAAACAAAAAAAATTTGCAGTTAAAAAATTTGTGTCCCCCCCCCCCCCCCCCCCCTTCACTCTTAAAAACAATCGAGTGTCTGTATATAATAAAGTAGTGCCAAAATTAATAAGTTTACTGTTGAATAAGTAATTACATGTAGATAATCATAAGTATTAGTCCTTAATTATTACTAAATTTTTCAATAGTACAATAGAATCTTGTATATATTCTATAAAATGCATTAAACTATAGTTTACACCTTAAAAATCATATGGAAGTTTTCTTTTCACTTAACTCTATTATGAACTTCAAATGATAAACATATAAATATCAAAAGCACGATAGCACCAAGAGAAAACTTTGCGGAATAATTCTTTCAGAAAAAAGAAATATTCAAGAATAGAGGTATCAAATGATACATTGATCGACGGCGAAGGGGCTCAACTGATTCCTTTACACTTCTACTCAAGAAAATAATTCAATTTCGATTTTTTTTTTTCTTTTCTTTTTACATTATAATCAACTTTCTGTATCAGTTCGTGTTTCTTTAACATTAATCTTATATTATTTTACCTATATGTAACCATATTTGTATGTGGATTTTGCCATGATACAATTGTTTTTCTCATTTGTCGACATAATTCTAAATTAATTTCATCATCTGTTTGTTCATAAAGTAAATGTGCAAGAATTCCAACAGCTGAAAAAGCAACATCAAGTATAGCTTCAGTTATATATTTTTGCATTAATGGAATAATATCAATTGAATAAAGATAAATTTTTAAATGTGATACTTCAGCTATGTTACTTAATAGACCAACAATTTTTGTTAATACAATTGTATCTGTTGAAAATAAATTAAGAAGACGTTGAAATAATTGTAAACCCATTGATTGAATAAAATTTTCACAAACAATTGCATTTTCATCAGTTAAATTCCATAATAAACTTAAACAAAAACGTAATGTATCATCACTAGTTAATTGTTGATTATGATTTAATGTTAAATCAATATCACTTAATGTTTGTTGAGTTTGAACATTGTGTGCTTGTTGATTTTGATTTATTTGCATTGTTTGTAAACGATCGATTTGTTGTTCAATTAATTGAAGTAAACGTTTTAAATTTATTACTGAACCTAATTGTGTACATTCATCAATTGTTAACTTAAATGTAAAGAAAAGACAAAAAAAATTTTTTTTTTTGATTGTTTCAGAAATAATAATAACAAAAAAAAAACGTGTATTTGATAGACTCTTGTAAAACATGCGATTACCCGAAAATCGACAGATCTACCGAGGGAAGTTTGCCAGTTAATGAATCTCTTTTGAGTCGAGACTATTATATGTATTATGTAGACACAAGTAAGCTATTAATACACCGAGAGAGTTCGTGCCCGTAGCTCATTCCTGCGAAGATACGGAACTTTTATGGTATTTTATAAATAAATGTTGTGGTAGCAGAAAAATGAATCTTCAAAATTCAATTGAAAACTTTGCATAGAGACAAGCCTCAATGAGAATACTTACATGTCTTGAGATTTGCTTCTAGTGTGAAATAAGAACATCGAATCTACTGATTTATATGGAAAATATTTTTTGTTAAGATCTGTCTTGATGTAAAGTTTCAAGTCAAAATTCGAAAATCAATTTTTCTGTCATCCTTACATTTATATTTAAAAAAAAATGCTCGTAAAATTGTAGTATTTAATCAGGAATAAATTATAAGAAGTTTAAAATCAATTTCAAGTAGTAAAAATTTTTCTTCCGAGTCTCTAGATGATGTTAAGATAAAATATTTTTGGAGTCCGATCTTGCTGATATCTTCACCATAGATACGTTTTGTTCTGTAGAGTCTATTTGCCAGAGAGAACTTGAAAATAGAAGTACAAAATAGTCTGTTAACTCATATTCGTAGCAATCAAATGCATTTTTTTATAAATTAATATCTAATACAAAGAATAAAATGTAATTAGTTCTTCAAATTCACCAAGATTGTCTTCTAACTTTGATATGCTTTTGAGTTATTACACTGATTATAATGCTTGGAAAATATTATAGGATACTCATAGACATTATGCTCACTAAGATGATTCAATTCGATATTTTTACAGATGCTCTTCAATAGTTTTCATCGTTGCTTTTTTTATACTTAAAAATGTTACATTTTCTTAGGTCTTGACTATATGGATATTCTAGTAGAGCCCGACGGTTCCAGGTACTATCCGAGATCCGAACCGGAACCGTGGATCCAATTCCGGTTCCGGTTAGCAAAGTCGAAAAAAAAACGGTTCCACGGTCGGATCCTAAAAGGTGTGATGGGAACCGTTGACCTGGTGATATATTAAATAATAATTTGTATTATTTTTTTTCAGAATTTTTAAAATTTTTTTTTTCATTGTTCAAGCTTATTAATTTATTGAAAAGCAATTCTTTCAAAATGTACAAGAAAAAGACAAAAAAAATGTGAAAAAACCGATCTAATATGAAATGTTCATATGCAATTAAAAATACATAAATTCTAAAAAAATTCCACTTCATTTTCTTCATCATCTTCGCAAAAAAAACAGCATAATCTTCTATTAAGAATAACTTTCTCACACATTAATAACAACTCCACACAAAGTCTACAAAGATAAATTACAAAAAGTAATAAATTGTTGTTGACCCTTCCTAAATGTATATGCAATTAAGATATTTGTTTTTTCTTGGCGTTTACAATCAGCATTCTATGCCGTGAATGGATGAATAATTTTATTGTTCATAAATGATTCAACAACGACAAAATACAGATGATTCTAGTTGTCATTAGCAAGACTTTCGGTTCCAACGATTCCGGATCTGAGAAACTAAAATATTTCGGATCCGGTTCGGTTCTCGATTCCAAAAAATTTGGAACCGCAGGGCTCTATATTCTAGTATATTCAACTGTGTGAAATAGAACAAGTGAATACCAATGTGAAACTTAATTAAAAATTGTACACTGTCGAGCTCTATTTGTTTCACATATAACAGTTGAGACTCATTGTCAACTTGTGGCATAATCCTCTAGAATAGTCTACTTGTCTATATAAATAGCCCGGTGTAATGACGATATTTTAATAATACTCAACAGTCTTATTAAAAACTTTTGTATAACAATAATAAGCACAAAATACCTAATAAATTAATATATAAAAATTTTTTATAAATGAAAAAAAATTAATTTTGACATGACCATAAGATATTGATAGAGTTTGATGGAAAATTTAAGCCTGAATCCTCAGAATAAAAAATAATGGATGTTCTTTCTGCAATTATATTTCCTGTACCACTTTCAAGGCTCTGGAGGGCAAAACTTTCTTTTCCTTTTATAAAGAAGTTATTTATATCAATTCATCAGGGAGGTGGGTACTGATTATTGACACATAAACATTTTTTAATACGACCCTGAAGTACTGTTAAAATATCATCATTATTAAGTTCTCTTGATATAGGAAAATAGGCTATTCTAGAGGAGAATCTTGCAAGTTGGCAATGAGTTCCAACTATTTCTGACAGATGTTTTTTTATGAAATATATAGAACTTAATAGTGTACAAATTTTGTAGAAAGCTTCACATTGGTAGTCACTTGTTCTATTTCACACAGTTGAATATACTGGAATATCATCTAGTCAAGACCTAAGAAAAGGTAACATTTCTAAGTATAAAGAAAACAACAATGAAAACTATTGAAGAACATCTATAACAATATCGAATTGAGTTTAGAAACAAAATTTGTATAAGTTCATATTAGGGACCAAAAGTTTGATTTCTTATTTACTATCCAATGCACCTCAAAAACCATATATACGGTATTCGTGTTTTAAGATAGATTACTCAATCCGATAATATTCTTTGGCATTATTATTTTTTTTTACTTACTCTAGTTGTTAATAAAGATAGAATAGCCACTCCCGGTTGTATAATAGCTAAATCAGTATAATGCAGTAAATTATGCATAACTAATGTAGCTAATAAATAAAAATTAAAATGTGGTTCATGTAAAATTCGATCACTACATAATGTCAATAAGCAATTTTTTTGTAACTTAAACAAAAAAAAGAAAAAGAAAACGCAGAATTAATTCTTATTCTAAAAATCGAATTTCTTTCGTTTTTTTACTTGTTGTTGATTTGGAAATGTTGCCATGACATTCATTGTTGCTTGTACAATTTGTGCTAAATATTTAACATGTATTCGTTCGGTCATTGGTGTACGTGTTAAATTATAAATACATGCTGTTGATGCCATTTGTACAGTTTGTAAATTTGAATGTATTGATATAACATGAAGTATAAGTTCAATAAGAAGATTTGGTTGTTTTGAACGAAATGAACGTGTTAGAAAAAAAATATAATAAAGTATTTTTTGTACAAAACCAGATCGATCACGATAACGTTTTAATGATTCAATAAGATATGGTTCATATAATATTAAATCATTTTCAGTTAATGTTATTGTTTGTATATGTTGTAAATCATATGTATAATGACGATATTTTGAATAACATAAATCATTTTTATCAAATACACAAGGAGAATATTTTTCATTAGTTAAAAATAAACCAAGAAATTGTAAATTTTTATGATTTAATAAAAAATGATATAATGATATTGATGATATTGTTTTTTGTCCACTTATATCAAAATGTTTTAAACGTGGTAAACAATTATCTTGACGTAAAAATTTATTTAAATCATTATCATTATCAATTATTGAATTCGTATTATTATTATTATTATTATTATCATTAAATATATTATCATTACTTATATCTAAATATTCAAGATATTTTAATTGATATAATATATGATATATAGTAGGATTTTGTTGCATATGAAAACAACAATTATATAAATTAAGCCATTTTAATTTTGATGATAATTTTAATAATGAATTAAATAATTTTATTGAACGACATGATGATAAATCAAATGTATCTAAATTTTGTAATGAATCAATTATTATATCAATACATGGATTTTTAATATCTGTTGAACTTAAATTTAATGATGTTAAATTTGTTAATTTTAATAATAAACGAAGATTTGTTGGAATAAAATTTACTGGTGTTGACATTGTTGAAAATAAATTTGTTGAACTAAATGTAGAAAAATTAAATTTTGTTTGATTATTTTTCTTTTTTTTTGTTTTATTAAGTTTTGTGTATGTCGTCTAGTTTGAATCAAAATCACGATATTGATGTATTATTTTTGAGTCGAGAAAAAAAGAATATCTTTAACTTTCGGCAACTTTACAGTATAGGGTGGTGTCTAGCGGTAGATTCATTCGTCTGGTATCTTCTCGAGGACTAATACTAGCTGTAGCTCTGAGAAAAAAGGCTGGGTCGATGCAAAGTTTTTGTTCTCGATAGCTTGAGTTTCCCATACACATTAACTAGCTACAAGAACAGGTGTTTGTTACAACATGCTATTGAAGGGTGATTCGAGACAAACAACCATTATTGACTTACCAATGGTCATTTCATGGCTGGTGGCACCGAAGTTTGAACACAGCATCTATTAAATATGAGCCGAACAACGTAACCACTCATGAGAGAACCCATCCGATTGATAATCTTCGTTTGACTTCATATTTTCCTTATAGATAGGATTCATAGTGCAGATGAAAATCTTGAAAGAGTTCCTGCCATTAGACCTCTCTTTTCGAGTTATGGTCGTTCTGCTCAACTTTCAATCTGAAATTCTATCCAATAGTAGCTCTCAATCGTTCTTAAGGTATCCTCAGAGTTTCAACTCAAATCGATAGCTTCTTAAGAATAGCGTATGCCTCGATAGTGGGCTATTTGTGGAGCTCTTGTATGAACGTAACGTTTTTTTTTTTTGACGAGCATGCTATCTCAAAAGTGAAATATTCGTTTGAGTTAAAACTTTCGGAATACCATAAGGGCAATGAAAGTTATTGTTGGGAAGAATTTCAGGTCGAAAACTTCTTCTTGTGATTTTTCTCGTGGCATCCTGCCATGTACTGAGATTTCAGTAAAATGATCATAACTTGAGAAGAAAGATCTAATAGCATACACCTTTTCAAGGTTTTTTATCGTAACTATGAGTTGTATATTTGAGCAAAATATAAATTCAAATCAAGATTATCAGTCGTATAGGTTCCATCGTCAGCCATGATGACAATGAGTCTCGACTATATGCATGATACAGACCCATATGAACTATGCATACACTGAAAAAAGTTCATGTTCTTAGCTTATTCCTGGTGTTCCTCAAGGAAACTGATGTTAAAATTTCGACTTGAAAGATTTCATAGAGGCAGGCCTTAATGAAAATTGTTCTCTGTGAATGTTTCAGATCTTGCTACTGTTTCTATACTAAGATATAACTAGTGTAACAGCGTATCTTTGATATTGCTTACATAAACCAGCAGATTTGAGGTTCATATTTCAGGAGAGAAACTAATCAAAAGATCTGGAATTTTCACAATAGACTACTGTCTTCTCAAGGGCTGTCTTTACGTCAATTTTCAAGACGGAATTTGAAATTCAGTTTTTCAGTTGTTCCTGCGTTCATTTAAAAAGACTCGAAACGAGCAGTATCTCAACAGCAATAAGTTAAGGATGCGGAATCTTTTCACGATACTCAGAGCTCATTTGGGTCTACATAATGCACATGGTCTCGACTTAAAAATGATTTGACACTTAGAAACGTTCCTTCATTAGGAATTGTTTTTTTTTTCATTCATGAATTCGAAATGCTATATTATTAAACTAAGTCTAGAGCTCGTCAGGTTGGTTCTGACGCAACAGCTAATTATAACTTGATTATTACATGATCATCGTCAAGATTGTCTGAGCGATGTATAAGGCGTTTTAGTAGCAGAATTTAGAGTGACAATCAGGTTTTGTTCTCGAGGCAAACCTTGATGACTCTGTTATAATCCCATCATCTTAATTGCGTTATACTTTATCTTCTATGTATGGTGTAATCCTACAAGTGCATATACCGGCACAAATATCTATATATATAATTTTACCTTCGTCTCTCTCGTTTTTCTTTCCTTAATAATAAACTATAATAACCAGTGCAAATAGCTCTGATTAAGGCTCATTGAGCAGATATGATTCATCTTAGAAAATCACGAAAATTTGTATGAACTATTACATTCATATCTATTATGTTGACATCATGATTAATTTAAAAGATCCATTTTTTTTTAGTTTGTTTGTTTAATGAAAGAGATATAAATATCTACTTTGTTCATCATGCTTAGAACACAATACCTACTTTACCTTAATCACTTGTTTTTTTTTTCTTTTGTAAAGATACTTAGAAGAACGGATAGAATTTTCAAGAGGCTATACAAAGTGTATTCTACGAACACTGATTATTTAATAAAGACAATTCTTTTGAATATAACTACAATTAGGATTATCACATTTTTTTTAAAAAAAGATTATTAATTATCTAAATAGAAAACTAAACTTTTCTACATGCTAACAACGTCATCATGTTAGAGACAGATGCTAGATATAATACGCTAGTGGTTGAATCTATAATAGCGATGTATAGGTTTACTTTGTTTTACCTTGCAGAGTAAAATAAGAGTTAGAAAATTTCTCTCAAAATAGGATACAGAGTACGAAAAAAAACCTTACTGTATACATTTTTAATCCACGACTAATTGCTTCTGAGATATTTTCTTTCCTCTGGCTCTTGATTCGAAACACAAATATTAAAAAAACAATAAAATTAGATATAGATCTCATCTTCACTCTCTTAACAATACGAGAGCATTTCTCGAAACTGCAAAAGTCGTGTGATTCTAACAATTTGATACTAAAAATTCGATTGGAATACTTTTGAAATATTTATGATGAATGTCATAGTAGTATGTTAGATAACTAAACGATTTTCTAACTTACCATTTTGTCAATGGTGACATGTCAGCAAGTGAAGATTTTCGTGCAGCAGTTGAATGTGAAGCAGCAAAAAATTTATAATGCGATAGACTTAATATTTTTAAACGTTCAATTGTTATTGGCTGTAAATTATTAAATATTCCATTTAATAATTTATGATGTGAAAATTCATCTGACGAATTCGGTAAATTTTGTAATAATGAATTATTTGTTAATGAATTTCGTCTTGATTCTGTTTGTATTCGTGAATAAATATGATGTAAAATAAATGGACTATATATTGTATAAATTTCATCAAATTTTGAATATAATGATGGACATATATGTTGATAAAATCCTTCATTTGTCATATTTATTGTACGATTTGAATTAGAATCTTTAAAAATAATATCTAATTCAATTATATTTGGATGTTGATTAAGTATATGACATTGTAAACGACTTAAATATTTGACATTAATTACAAATCTTTTAATACATGTTGAATTTGATGAAAATAATGATAATGTAAAATCATTCAATTGATCATGTCTTACTAAATAATTAACAAGATGTTCTGATAATACAGAATTTAATGGACAATATCCACAAAGAAAATATTCAATAAATAATCGTTGATTATGTAATATTATTTTATCATCTGTATTATTTATTGTTTGTATTGGTAATTCTTCATCAGTTCGACATGTTTCACCTCGATGATGTTTTCGTTTTTGTTGTTCAATTAAATTAAATTTATCTTGTTGTTTTTCTTCACAATAAACTCTATTGACTTGTTCTTCAATTTGTTTTTTCCATATTAATTGATCAGATTTTAATAGAGAAGAAAATTTACGCAGACAAATTATACATAATCTATCTGGATTATCAACCATCGAAATAACTTATGTTTTATATTTTGTTGGGATATGAATTAGAAGGGAATGCCTTTGGGCAATAATAGAAAATTCTCTATGAATCACTTCATGGAGAATTTATATCTTAAAGAAAACAGAAGAATTTATAGAATAATTGAACAAAGAAAAATTAAGAAGAAGAAAAAGATAAATTTTCTTTTTTTTTTTTTTTTTAAACTTCACTTCAAACTAGAGAATAAAATATAATAACTCATATTAAACCCGTATAAATCAAACAGGAAAACAAAATAACAATAATTAACTAATGATTATGACTCTGATCATGAGTTGTGCTATCATACTCATATCATTGATTTTGAGTGTCGTGTGTGTATGGTGATGAGCGAGATGTTTGTTGTACAGATGCTGGAAAAGTATTGATTGCAGTAGGATTGAATTGAAAAGGCATTTGTTGTTGTTGTTGCTGTTGAGAGTTAAAGAATTGAGAAGAAGGTATAGGCTGAAAATATTGTTGTTGAGGATTGAATGGAGGCATAACCGGAGGTGGGATGATCGGCGGTAATTGATTAGTAGGAGCTGTATTTGTTGATTGTTGAGACGGAAGAGGCGAAGGTTGAATATTACTTAAAGTTGGTATAAAATTTGAAGAACTTGAAGGAACAGCAGTTGGTACAACATTGGACGATGATGGGTTCAGTGTCATATCACCGAATTGTCTTTAATGAAATAGAAATATATATTAGCATTAATATTATTCTAGTTTATAATAGAAAACTCTACGATTTTAAGCAAATTATCTTATAAATCATGAAACAGAACATTATTCAAGAGAGATGACCTATAGAAATGTTAGTTATCGATTAAATAAATCACAAAAACGAGAAATGAAGAATTACTTTAGATGTAATACGAATAAACTCGGAAATAGTTTTCTCTAGATCCAGACGAAAAAAAAAAAACTTAGTTCCACAAATCTCTATTTCGGAGGTTGTATAGCGCCTCCACTCAAATATAAAAAGTTCGTTACTTGGGCAAATTTGACTTTCAAGTTTCACATGTGTGATAGATTCGAGTGTAAACCCAAAAAAGTGTAATAAGCGCTCTCGAAAATATTTATTATTACTTTTTATTAACGTTTATCGAAGAAATAATAATATGTACTATGTGACCTAAAGAAATTTTGTATCCCGTGACTGAGTTTATTATAACTGACCTAATTAGTAATAAACTAATTTTTTTTCACTCTTTGAAGTTTTTTTTAGTAGGATAAAGCAAATTAGCTATAGCCAAATATTATAGTTATTCTATTACAGCTAATTACTGTTTGTTTTTTTATAAAGTGTTACTTCTGACTGTGCATATGATCGATAAGAATTGTCAATGTTAGGTTTTGTTCATCCGACCACTATAAACTTGATATATTTTGTTTTCATCAGTTTAGACTACCAATATAATTTGAATAATAAATGAAGCATAATAAAGAGCCGTGTTTCGTATTTCAATTTAGTGTTATTTAATACGTTTTATTGAAAAACAAAACGCGACCATTTGAGAATTATAAGCCCAACCGTTTCCCTAACGATGAAAATGTGTTCAATAATTATCAACAATACGTTTTTTACTATTGAATTCTCAGCACGATGTCTTTTAGTGAACTAGATGTCGGCCAGTTATTGCGTATTTCTTATTGATAGAAAGAGAAGAAAAACACACAATGGTTGCCTGAAGCTATTTATGAAACACTGTATTATATTTTATTGAATCTAGGTATTTAAAGCAGAATGATTATTTCTAGAAGTTTTCATTCGATTGAAATCATCAAAAAAGTTTTCATTTTTATTCATACTTATGAAATTGACTAGGATCAGTAGATATATTTGTGGTTGTTGTTGTCTCATTCGTTGTATTAGTATTAATTTGTGGTGGGATAAGTAAACTTGGCATTGTAACTGTTATTGGTGGCATATTAACAGGTTGAAGTGTAAAACTCATATTTGTTCCAGTAGTCATATTTGGTGGAGGTATTGCTGAAAGTAATGGAGCTTTATCACCATTAAGTATTAATGGATTTGGTTTTGTTACTGGTGTAGAATTAGGTAGTCGAAGTGGTATTCGATGTAAATAACCATAACCAATTCCACAACCTAAACTACCTTCACCACCCCATCCAATATTTGGTGTAAGATTTATTTCACGTGTTGAATCATTTTCACAATTATAAACATAAAGTTTAAGTGATTTACCTTGATTACTTTCAATTAATGCATAAAAATCTTCTGCATCATTTAATAAAGTATCAGCTCCAATAATATAATCAGTATTAGAACGTAAACCAGCTAATGCAGCTGGTGAATGAGGTTGAACATCAAGTACATGCCATACATTTTCGTTTGCTTTATCAAATGAAGAAAAACGAATACTTAAACCAAGTAAACCCTATAGGAAATTTTCAAAACGAAATAGAAAACAAAACTAATTAAAAATTTATTATTATTATTTACTTGGCCACCCCAATTTTCATGCGGAGTTAATTGTAATTGCCTGACAACTTGTGTTTTACTGTTATAAACAAGTAATTCAACTGGTTTATTAATATTTTCTTTTAAAATTTCTTTAAATTTGTCATTGTCTGTATCAAGTCGAACACCATTAATACTAACAATAAAATCAAAATAAGGCTCTACTCCAGCTTTATGTCCTGGTGAACCGTTTTGAACACGTAGAACATGAAAACCTTCTGTACCACCACCTGGAATATTTAAACTACTACTACCAAGACCCATTCGCAGTTACAAGATGCCAATTACAAATTTCTTTTTTTTTTTAAGAAAAAAGAAAAAAATGGAATTTCTAATCAATAAGATAATAATCGTTCGTGAGTATGACACGCTTTCTTATTGGACCAATAGGATTCTATATTTAGCATCATTGTTTAATTTGAATAAAAATATAAAATATATGTTAAATTCAAACATGAAAAGAAAAACATGTATGTTTATTATTTCTAACATTATTCAAAAATCACTTATATGTCTTCAGTATTTGAGCGACATCTATTCGAAGAATTGTCGTTACTAGTATAAATGGACTAACAGGTCAATAAATACGGCCTGTTTTGTTTTCAGTGGGAAAATTGGTCGGAACCAATGTTTTTAATGAAAGAGTGTACCTTGCCAAACAAAGTGTATGGTCCCCCAATAAAACAGAATTTACACACTGAATTTTCTCTTTCCATTTTATCTTTTTACAAGATTTTCTTGCCTTTATATGCTTAAAAGAAGTTTATCTACATATGCAAGGCATCTGAAAAGGTCACCTGAGAAACCAATACGAATATTGGAATATTTTGTTTTCAATTCTATAGTATGTTCTTTACAGTTTTATTTATATAATTTGGTTTATAATAAGTATTCGAAATGCAGAAACTCATTTTTTTTTCAAATTATTTTAAAAACTACCGGAGAAAGTTTATTTTCGAATTTTATATTTACGAATAAATCATTTATAGTAAAAGAGGTTTTGTCGATAAAAATAAACGGATTTTCTTAATTGTGAATGCTCTCTAGCATTGATATTAAAGTTTGGTAATTTCCGTTCGATCTTGTAAATCGTCTTCGAGAATTTATTGAACAAATTATACTTTGCATTTCTTAATTTGAAGATATTCAGTCATTATTGGGTATTTTATGATCTAAGGAACGAAACAGACTGTAGCAACAACCCAAACATTCGGCAATAGCTTATTTTCACGAACATCATAGACTATATCAATTTACTACTGTACAATTTTCACAAAAGGATCAACAAGTATCTATAACATATTTTACATCTGGCGTTTGTATACCAAAACTTAATTTGCATTTTTTGTTTTCAAATGATAAGTGACTCAAATTTGACGATTAACGAAACACGTTGTATTCTAATGTCGATGATCATAAAAATTTATTTAAAAATATTTAGAATAAAATTCCAATGAACATACTATCATAATATTGAAACAAGTAATAAATATAAAATACTTGAACTAATTAAATAATATTCACGAATGTACTATTTTAATCTATGAGTTCTATATGAAACTTGTAAAAATGATTTCATATTCATCGCTGTGTTTGCCAATGAGTAGTCTCTATTGATTATTGATATTTGATAATCTAAATATTTTGCAACATTAAACCGATGTATAAATCCTTCTCTACTAGCATCGAATTACTAGATTGTAATTAGAATAAATAAGTAATCGGAAGTACTGAAATTAAGTTTCTAGCTTGATTATTTTAAGAAAAATGGAAATACACTTAAAAACACATTTATTGCTTTTCTCTATGAAAAAACAAAGATGAATGAATTTTTTAAATACAATCTACAACAATAAAGATAAACATTTGACTAGTACAAATACTGTACATAACTACTGTCAAAATAATCAATTGGTTTTTAATCACACACAACCAAACAATAATACACTTCGTGCTTTTTGATAAAAATTATTCAACATATATGTATGAGAATCTTGTTGTTCAAGTTTAACGACAGCAAAATGACTTTGTTGCATTGAATCTTTTGTATCACCAAGTTCAAGATCTCCGGAAAGTATGTAACCATCTGACAAATCATCATCAGTTATTTGTGATGATAGAACAAGACGAAAGAAACAATCCGTATGCCGTTGAAATTGTCCAGTTATCTGCAAACGCCCATTACCCAAACATTTCATATGACCTCTAGAAAAATAAACACATTTTTATATAACATCTATATCTAATGTGATTGGTCATCTTCGATAGTTAATAATACTAATCGAAATTTTGCTCAACTGATCATCATATCATATACAAATATAATAGACAAGACAATTTTTCTTTTATGCAATCGGAATATTCTATAAACAATAAATTGGTGTCTAGTATCTTACAGAGCAGCGACGCGTTGTTGTGCACATAATGTCTATCTTTGTCCCGCCTTCATACAATCTATCTTCATCTGATCTGTCTCGACTTTTTTTTTTCTCTGTAGTATCCGACTCATTAAAAGTGTTCGATCTCAGCATGTTAATGTCCCTTCCTGTGTTCGTTCGTCTATTACATCTTCATTAGTGATTCTAGTGAGAGATAAAAATTGACCATCATTTCTATTTTCTTTTTGCATATATATACGAGACGAATCAAATTAGCCATCGACCAGAAAATGCTCTTATATTTAGTTCTAATTTGATTAGTCGACTACGATGTCAAGAAAAAAACTCATTCAGTCGTTGACCAGTTTTCATACAAATAAATGTTCTAACGTCTTTCAATCGTATTGTTAAGAAGATATTTACCCGAAACCTATATTTTTCTCCGCTCGACAAAAGCTCTATTATCTGTCAATCATATATGAATATGTTGTATATGAAATACATATTATCATATAATTGTATTTATGCATGAACTAGAAATGAAAGACGTTAATCATTGTCTTGATATTATCATTATGTATAAATATAAGACAAATGAAATTGTCTCGTTTTATTCTTTTTGATTGACATAGTTAATTATAGATCGTTTTAGCTTACGGAAATCATCAATGAAAATAGAAAGGCTTGTCATACTTTGAAATGCTTAATTAAACTCATTCAATCGATCTTCATTAGAAATTTAGAACGTATTAACCTACTTTTATTCTAAAATAGGATTGAGTTATTATCTACCGTTGAGCATGATTCTTCTTTTCATCAATTAAAACTAACAAGTGTAAGCAGTCCAAAGAGACAAGAAAAAAAGAAAGATGAATTTACTTGGTAATACTTGTTCTATGACCTTGTTGTTCAATAATTTCACATTTTGTTTTTGACCACCAAACTGTTTTAATTGTCCAATATGATATAAGAGCTGGTTTTGGCCAACTTTCATATGCATAGAGACGAATTTTTGCTTGACCTTGTTCACCAATTTCACGCAATAATTTGCGACCACATAGACCTCGAGTTTCTTCGTAATAGAAAGATTCTGTTAATTTCATCATCGATAAATGACAAACCAACTATTTTGTACGATCAATCAGTATAAAAGAAAAAGCGAAGAGAAAATACTCGTTTTTTTTTTCTTCTACTCTCTGTCTCTTTTTTTTTTCTATCTCTCTTTATCTCTTCGTTAATAAAATAAAGACGATCTATTGAAGAGTAATAGTATTTTTCTTTCTCTCTCTTACTACGTACTAGAAAAAAAGAAAAAGAAAATGAACAGTATTTCCTTTAGGCAACACAGAAGTAGAGAAGAAGAAAAAAAAAATAAGTGCTGTTCCCTGTTCATTTTGATTGAATATCGGCTTCTCTTTTATTTTTTTTTATTTGATGAATGTCATTTCTTTTTTTTTCTATGACGCTTCAAGAGGAAAAAAAAAGAATCGATTTCCTACTAGGACAGAAGTCGATAGACAGACAACAAGTCAAACCGCCAGTATATGGTGCACTCATTGCTGATTAGCACTTAATACAGAGATGCACGCAAATTCATTCAATTTCATTATGCAAACGAATGGCGGACGCTGTGAGTGTATATGTTAGTCACCATGTATGCGGCCACCCGCATTGACCGATGTTTGATATTTCATGTTAGGATCAATACAAGCGGTAGGCTTGTCACAACATCTTTTTGTGTTCATCCATAGAGAATAGATAGATACAAGACAACAGTATGATGTAATGTTAAGTAATAATATGCAATATATCTTCTCAGGTGTTTCATTCAATTACTTATTAATGAGAACAAAATGAATGTAAAAATAGAGTGTATTCATTAAAAAAGACCAATCATGGAATTGAATGCGTGTTAAAAAAAAGAGAATGCACAGTTGATTCAGTCGTATAAAGAGATTACTTTAGATGAAAGTATGAATTCTTCAAATAGATGACAATATGTTAATTTATTTACTTTTCTATTCTATTGTGCAATACAAACAAAAAAAAAAATGTTCAATAGAATCATGAATTTAAAAAATAGAAAAATATGTCTCTAGAGTAATCATTGAATATTAGAATAAAAAATACATTTAATAAAAGATTAACATCAAGATAAGATGATGAATGCTATGGTTCAAGTATTCTTTTGACTTCAATCGAAAATCTACAAGTTGATACTCATCTGTTTTCTTTTTTCTGCTTGAATAATAAAGTTAATTCTAACTATTCATATATATATATATTGGAACAATTGATGAACTTTAAACTTGTTCTTTTTATGAACTGAAGAATTATTTGAATCAAAGTTTGATAATAAATATTCATTTTTCTATGTGGATTTTTTTAATTAGAATATCAACTGAAAATTTCCATCCAATATGATAGGGTTATATAAATATTTTTGCAACAATTTAATATTACGTTTGAGAAAGAAATTGAATTAATATTTGTTGATTAGAAACTTTTGACTTAATAAAATGTCGTATTTAAAATCAAATACAATCTTTTGGCGTCGATATTTTTCGATCAATAAAATTTCTAACTCCATAATGATCATCAAGCTTATTATAAATAAAAACAAGAATAACAAAATAGAAAAAATGTATTCACAATACTACATGAAAAAAATAATAATAATTAGGGAACATATCGTAACGATGGATTATCTTCAGGGTGTGGATACAGAATGTGAGGACGATGGTAGTTGAAGCATGAAATTGTTACTGAGCGTGACAATGATCTATTTACTGTTACACTCATCAACTGTATCCTTGCCCTTAGAGCCCAACATATTATCTACATCTCATCTCACACTGAAACTTGCCAGTTGCAAAAGATCCGATC